ATTCCTGAGCCAGCCATGCTGAGGGGAAAGGGAGAGGTTGCCATGCTTAGCCATGTTGGCTCAGGAATTCTGGGAGTTGAAGTCCACGAGTCATAAAAGAGCCAAGGTTGCCTACCCCTGGCCTATGGAGATTCTCAGTCCTCCAAGTCATAGTTGTCTCAATGGTGCTTTTTCTTGAGGAATCAGAAGAAAAATGTTTCACTTCTCATCCAAAAAGCTTCATCAATTCATCATTCAGAAGTGATGAAATTTCATGGATGAGAAGCGAAAAATTTTCCTCTTCAAGAAAAAAAACAGTCCAGTAGCCTTTGGGGAAAAAAAGCATCTTTGAGACAGGAAACTTTCAAACCGGAATGGAACAACTCATCACGGCCAACTCACTGCGGCCAACTTGTCGTGGCCAACTCTTTCCTGCCTGAGCAGGGGGTTGGACTAGATGACCTCCAAGGCCCCTCCCAACTTTATTATTATTATTATAACTCACCATGGCCAACTTGCCACGAGAAAACTCACTACAATAACTCAACGCGGGACAACTGAACAATTCAGTTTAATTATTTAAGATAAATTTTTTAAAAAATATTTTAATTGTTGTCATTCACATTTCATTCTGCCCCTCCTTTGGCGTCCTTTCTTTCATGATTCTGTTCCACCATTTCTTTGATATTACTGTAACTCTTGTCCCGTGGCAAATTATCCCGCAGCAAGTTGGCCGTGGCTAGTTGTCCTGTGGTGAATTGGCCACAGCAAGTTGGCTGTAGAAAGTTGACTGTGGCAAGGTGACCGTAGCGGATTGTCATCGACCCCATTCACACAACACTTAGAAACAGGCACTCCCTGGAGGCAAATTGTTTAAGAACACTTCAAGTGGTTTTCAGGAATGGTGAACACCACCACACCCTAAACAGGAGGAACATTTCTTTCCATGCCCTTGTCAAGGGAGAAACTTGAAGCAGACAGAGTTGCTTAAAATTCATCTTGATGAGAGCTGTATGCTCAATGGCACAGGCGAGGATGATCTGGGGACGCAAACCCCTACTGCAGCTAAGAAATACAGTAGTGGCCAAAATTGTGGAAACATTTTGAGAAAAATGTATTTTTGAGGTTTGATGACTAATAACACCACTTTTTTGGGGGGAGTAGTACCATAAAATTATATATCAACGGAAAGATAATTTAATCAAGAATGTAATGCAACAAAGTTTGTTCAATTATCTGTACTGTATTCTATGAAAAGTTATAGCCAAATCGCCAGAAAAAGGAAGCACAACTTGCTTCGGTGGATATCAGGTAGCTTTCCTTCATCTAATTGTAGCCAATGAGCATGAATGTTTAGAGAGCCAATCAGGTGTCATCTTGTTTTGGCAATGAGCCAATCAGATCACAGTAGGATTCAGTGATTGACGTCCTGTATTGAAGCTGACAGGAGGACATTTGTCAGTGTGTTATGTGATCGCTATCAAGTTGGTTGTGGTTTTTTTTGTGTTCTTTCATTTAGTGAGCTTGTAAAACATAATAAAATTAAAGTAATGATGAAAAAAGCTGACTGGTTGCCCAGAAAGCAATGTAAAATACCGTATATGCCGGAGTATAAGGCGACTTCCGCAAGCGTTAAAATTGGCGCCAAAGACGGGGGTCGTCTTATACACCGAGTCATCTTATATGCCGGAAATACTGGTAATTTCCGGCGTATAAGATGACATTCTAGGAATGCAACTCGATGCCAAAGACGGGGGTCGTCTTATATGCCGGGTCGCCTTATACGCCGGCATATACGGTAGTATTATTAAGTGAACAAGGCTACAGTTATAAAGAAATTAGAAGAAAAATTGGTGGAAGCTTAACCAAAGGTGGCATTTCTACTGTACACTTTTCCCAAAAGGTTTCCACAATTTTGGTCACTACTGTACACCCCAGTGGAGGATAAAAAACAGTTATTTTACTGCTTGCTCCTTTTCCTTGGAATCTGCCTTGTTTCCATCTGCTTTTCTCACTTGAAGCGGCCAGTAACTAAGGGAGGAAAATTGCAGAAAGGAAATGGGGGTGGATGGGGGTTGAGTGCTCGCCTCCCTGCTTATAGAACGGGACAACTCACCACAGCCAACTTGCCACGGTTATCTTTCCATGGCCAACTTGCTGTGGGCATTTTGCCAGGGCCATCTTGCCATGGGCCAACTCACGGAGGACATCTTGCCATGGGACAACTCATCATGGGAAAATTTACCGTGGCCAACTCACCTTGGGACAGCCTGCCGAGGGACAACTCAACACGATAAATGTTATCTGCCAGTGTTTCTTCAACCTTATTTCCATTGACAAAAATGGAAATAAATGTCACAGAAACAATGGTGGATAATATTTATCATGTTATCCTGCATGGATTGTCCTGTGGTAAGTTCTCCCGCAGCGAGTTGGCCCTGGCGAGTGTCCCACAGTGAGATTGTGGGACAGGTTGGCCACGACAAGATGGCCACTGTGAGTTGTCCTAGATCCCCCTGCTTATCCTCCTGACAGGGTAACAGAAACAACCAGTCTTTTCAGATCCTGTCTCTGCCAAACATTGACTACATCATTTTGTTCTCAGCAAGTCAAACTCTCAACATGGACACACACTCTTCGTCAAAAGGCACTCTTCTATTATGATGGTCCTGCTCCAGTAGTAGCTTTACTCAAGATCAGAACTGTAAGCATCCCAGTTAGTAATGTGACCAACCATAGACAAAGGAAAGCAAAACTCTGCACATCACCAATGATAGCTAGCAGTAACTGGAACAGAAACTAACAAGGATAGCAGCACAATACAAATTCAACTGGCAAGAAGAAGAAATGCAGGGTGTTACGTCTACCATCATTGGGAAATAGCTTGTGCTTATTGTATCTATTTCAATGTTTCTCGACCTGGTCAACTTTAAGATGTGTGGACTTCAAATCCCAGAGTTCTATAGTCAGCATGGCTGTCTGGGGAATACTGGGAATTGAAGTCTACACATCTTCCCCAGGTTGAGAAGTAGCAGTCTGTTCTTAGACCATTTTTATCCTATCCAGGTGGCCTTGAATTGTAGGAACTCCAATTCTGAGAATTCCTGTTGGCTGAGAAACCTTGGATATGGAACCTCAGCACACATGGAAGAACCACCCTGGAGAAAACTATCCTAAGCAGAACTCAGTCCAGTATCATCAGCTTCAACTGATCTTCAATAAAAGGATAACGTTTTAAGATATGACATCTTTTTGGAAGGCCTTTGCTGATTAATGCAGAATGAAGTCATACAATACAAAAAATTTTGCTTTGCACTAAGGTGCTTGTGGGAAACGTTGGAATATTATAACATGGAATATTATAACTAAGAGTATTGGGTCAAAATGTGAAGAATCCATATTAACAGATTTAAGATCCAGTTAAAATGTTCTGGAAAGAATATTTGACATGATGCTGTTGAACGCGTCTCCTTATTTCAGCACACGGTGGAGCATGATGAGAGTGAACGAATATCCTTGGGTATTAAAATGCTTTTGCATATGCATAAGGGAGTAGGCTACATCAGGCCTTCTCTTTGAGGTCACAGTCAGACAACTGTGTGGAATGCGTGCAAATCACCTCCTCACTACCATTACCTGCATCTTGAATTGGTAAAGTCTTGTCACATCCTTTCTCCTAAAAAATTTAGGTGTCTATGAGATCACAGGGAAACAAACGTTGGGCATAGACTCAGTCTTGATCAATCACTAAGTAGAGGTAGGTTCACGGTTCAAGAAGCAGAGTTAGAATTTTCCCAAATCATGCCCTTCTCTCTTTATGAGGGAGGGGGTGAACTTTATTAGTCCCTGTGGGTGTCCTAGCTAAAAGAAAGCCTCGTGCCTTGACTCTTTTGCCAGAATCATCAAACTGCTGTCTCGTGAAGCTACAATAAGATTAACTCAAGAAATATTTGGTCCAAGAAACGTTGAGTGTGCCGAACACTGTTGTATGTAACTTCTTTGGCAAGAGATGTCTTAAAGCTCGGATGCCTTCAAGCTCAGACTCAAAAGATATTGAGCCAAGACCTCCGAACTGTATTTAGTAGATGAACGTATTCAGAAAAGGCAAAATTTAAAATTAACTGAAGCAATATGTTTCAGTGTGGTTTGCTTCCTCCAGACCAGTGATTCTCAACCTGTGATCTGTGTATCCCTGGGGGGTGGGGGGTGGGGCGCAATGTTGTCACGGGGGTTTGAAAAAATGTTATGATTTAAATCTTGAGTTAAGCCTTGGGGGTTCGTGGCCACAGTTTGTGGCCACAAAAGTTACTTAAAGGGGGTCCGTGGTGAAGAAAAAATTGAGAACCATTGCTCCAGACCATTATTTTATAACTTGATCTAGTTTTGTGGATCTTGGGGGAATCTAGTGGAAATAAAAGAAAAAAGGAAAGGAAGATCAAAGTAGGTCTGGTAAGTCTGGGGTCAGCCCACACTTGATTTAGATGCCTTCCAGTATCTCAAGATACTTCAGTAGCATCTTGTTTAATCTATTTTGATACAGTAGATTATTAAAGCTTACTTAGAGAATCAGGAATCTTTTCTAATGCATCTGATCACTGTGGTGTCATGATATTAAGATTGCATGAAAGGAAGGATGAGATTTTAAATCCATTGTCTCCAAGGAAAGCTGAGACAATGGTAGGATTGTAGAAGCTACCAAAAAAAAAGAGATTCCTTTCTAAAGGATTTCAAGCATGGTGGATTGGGCCATAATCAAGTGTCTGGCAACTCTCTAAAACAGTGGTTCTCAACCTTTTTGATGCCGCGACCTCCAATCGGTCATAAGTCGAGGACTACTCAACCGGTTGTAAGTCGAGGACTACTCAATTGGTGCAGCACCGTTTGCAGAAGGGGACTTTTGGCAGGCTCAGCAGGGCAGAGACAGCCTGGACAATTCCTATTGGCTTTTGAAAGCCAATAGAATTAGACTCTATTCAAGAGAGTCTATTCTATTGGCTTTCAAAAGCCAATAGAATAAAAGGGAGTAGCACAGCTAAGGAAAAGGGGGAAAAAAATGGCGGACTGCGTTGTTTGGCGACCCCCGTGAAATGGTAGTTCGACCCCAAATGGGGTCCCGACCCACAGGTTGAGAACCACTGCTCTAAAACCTGCCTTGTTGAAAATGTTGTAGATGGCTCTGCCATCAACCAACAGAACCGTTATTCTGCATTCAAACAATCTGATTTACAGAACCTCCCATAGTTTGGCAGTGGTAGAAGTCACTTATTAGTGAGAGGGAAAAAAAATTCCTCTAGACATCAGATCCAATTTAGGAATTATCCTCTGTGAGATGTGATTCTAGTCAGTGATCTAAAGCTGGGATTCTTCAAAGTCCTATGAATTAGGACAATAGTTCTAAAGATGAAAAAAAAACAATCAAAATAGGTCCTGCATATATCCACCTGTCTTATGAAAAAATAAATCTCTAATTTTCTAAGGTGGCAGATGAGAAGGAGATAGTGAAAGGTTTACTCTCAGTCATTTGGCAGACAATCACCTAACAATCTGGTTAAAAAGTGACATAAGGCCAAGAGTATTTGGCTGGCGATGAAGAGCAGTTGAAGAACGTCTAAACACAGTTGTCCACTGTACCAAATCTATAAGGGACACCAAGGGATCTGTTGGGAAAGTCTCTATTGCTGACATCTAGCACCTCCACCAGAAGACAGATTTCTACTCTAGACCAAAATCACAGAAGAAAAAAATGTGCTTACTAGGACTACCTTCTCTGGCCTGCCAAAATCTGCTTGACCACAACGTAGCAGCAAAGAGATCCAGAAAGAAAGCTGGTTCCTGCTATTTTGTGATCAACTTGACATTTGCAGCCTGGAAACAACAGCCCTAAGTTTCATTTCCTGGCATGTGGACTCAACTCCCCAGCTCAGGAATAAAGTGATAATACACAGACTACTCTACACAGAGCTACAGCTGAAACTGGTCATCGTTCAGGTGGCATTTCAAACACTTTGTCGTGCTTTTGCAGAAGGCTGAAATGTTCTCATCCTTCACATTCATGACACCAGGATCGTCCAGTCGCTGTCTTCTCTCCCATACTGAAACACAAAGAAAGTGTGTTAAGAGAAACGCCATTGGGACCCAGGTTCAAGTCTTTATTCAACCAAGAAACTCACGAGGTACCTCTTTCTTGAAAACTATGGAGTAAGCCTGAACAGGAAGACCGTTTTAGAGTTTTTGAAAACTCTGCATATGGTTGGCTGTTAACAGTGCTGATTAAGGGATTGAGAAAGTGATATTCAGAAGAAGTATATTCCCCAACGCCCTAAAATTGCAATTGGCTGCTGTGGGAAGTCAGCTCCCCAGAGAGGGAAATATTAAAAGGGCAGAAAAATATATTTCCTCAAAGGATCTTAAAGAGGCAGAAAAGCATGCCCAGTTTTCTTAATAGCCCCAAGTCTCCCTCCCCCAAGCAGAAACCAGCTCTGTAGAAATGCAGATGTAAACCATTCAGGAAGGTTGAAGCTAGAAGATTAAGAAGACAAAGACACCTAAAATCTACATAACCCACCCAAACTCTAAGACAGGACATAATAGGATTAACCCACAGATGCCAAAGGGCACACCCAGACTCAGGTCAGAATTCATGACACAGGAAATACAAAGCCTCAAACAGGAACAGGAAACAATTTCAAAGAAAAGCCCCAGAGGGTATAAAAACCCACTCCCTACATGTGCACTCTCTCTCTCTCTTTTCTTCCAGAGCCAGTTTCTGTCTGGCTCTCCTCTTCAATAAACTGCAACCTTCTTTCTAAAGCAGTTGCCATGCTGTTTATTCTCGGCTTGGACTGAACCATGATGAAGATTTTTCCTTCAACACTGCCCAAATGTTTGGATGCTCTCCCTAGGAGACTTCTAAAAGGTTATCACATGGTCCTATTTCATGCAACCGAAAGGTGAAATATTAAATACATCTCTGGGAAACAGAGTGGGACAATCACCGCAGCCAACACGCCACGGCTAACTCACCACAGGAAAACTCGCTGGGGGACAATTTGAGAATTCAATTTAATTACTTAAAACAGTTAAAAGTTATTTTATTTTTTGTCATTCACACCTCATTTGGTCTCTCCTTTGGCATCCTTTCTTTAATGATTCTATTCCACTGTTTCTTTGATATTAGTGTAACTCGTCCCTCGGTGAGTTGACCATGGCGAGCTGGCCGTGGCGTGTTAACTATATTTAATTTGAAGCAAATGTAAATGAAGCAAACCAAAAGATTTTTGTTCTGCCACTTCTACTGAGAGTGAGCCCAGCATGTTGATTAAAGTCTAGGATGGTTCCTTGGTTTGGGAAGAGCTGATCTTGTGCAGGCCTAGATGTGTTTTGCGCAGGCCTAGATATGTGCATGTGTCATCTTTGTGGTGGGAGCTGCATTGGCTGCTGATTTGCTTCTAATTTCAACTCAAAGTGCCAATTGTCACCTTCAAACGCCTACATGGCTTGGGACCAGGTTATCTGAAGGATGATCTTTTCCCGGTCATATCTACCTGACCCACCAGAGGCAGAGAATGCTATATATAAGTCCCCTCTCTTAATATGTAGGTACCCACTCTTAAGGAAGTTCATCTAGTAAGACCAAGAAGAAGGGCCTTCTCTGTGGTGGCTTATCCCTGTGGAGATAAGATTGGCCCCCACTTTGACACTCTTTCGCAAGCTCTGAAGACCTGGTTTTGACAACAGGCCTGGGGAGACTGAAGTGATATGGAGCCCATCAAATGGCTCATTGGATTGTTGTTGCCATGGAGATGGGGTCGGTACTGCTTTTTTTATTATTTTTATATTGAGTTTTGATCCTTGTAGGTTTCCCGGAGTCACTGAGAGTGAGTTGGGCGACCATATAAATTTTCATAAACAAACAAACTCTACAGCCCTGTGCCTCTGAGCTGTTTCTAGCACTGCTGTTTGGTTTGCTTCATTCCACCATCTTCTTCATTTGCTAAGCAACAAACCTGAATTTTCCCTTTACTCAGCGTTCTATTTAAACAAGATCCAGTCCTTCAAAGAGGAAATGTAAAGCAGTGTAAACATTCTGGAGGGAATCTGGGCTAGCCCTCAGCTGATCAGAAGACTTCAGAAAATTTGCATGGCGATCTAAAAGATCAATACCAGTCACAACATGGAGAACTACAGAGATGGGAAATTGGCTTCCTATCATGCCTGTTTTGGATACTATAGGTTTCCAGATGTAAATAATACAGGGCAATCATCATCACCAGAGTTGGAAGGGACCTTGGAGGTCTTCTAGTCCAACCTCATAGTTCCCTACGTCCGGTTAGATCCCACAGGCTGGGCCTCCTTCAGGTCCCGTCGGCCAAGCAGTGCCATTTGGCGGGGCCGCGGAGGAGGGCCTTCTCTGTGATGGCGCCCACGCTTTGGAATCAGCTCCCCCCGGAGATTAGGACCGCTCCCACCCTGTTGGTCTTCCGTAAGCTACTTAAGACCTGGCTTTTCCGGCAGGTCTGGGGTTTATAAAACCTGACCCCTGGATGATTGTTTTTGTATTGTTTTGTTAGGTTTTATGTGTTTTTTATTGTTAGCCGCCCAGAGTCCTTCAGGAGGGGGGCGGCTTATAAATGTTAAAAATAAAATAAATAAAATAAACCCCCTGCTCAAGCAGGAGACCTTAGACCTTTTCAGAAAAATGGATGGCCAGTCTCTTCTTAAAAGCCTCCAGTATTGGAGCATTCACAGCTTCTGGAGGCATTGATTAATTGTTTTCACTGTCAGGAAATTTCTCCTTAGTTCTAGGCTAGATCTCTCCTTGATTAGTTTCTATCCATTATTTCTTGTCTTGCCTTCTGATTTTTTTGGGAATATAAGTGGACCCTCTCTTCTTTGTGGCAGCCCCTTAGATATTGGAACACTGTTGTCATGTTGATTCAGGATTGAATCAATGTCACCCAGGACAGAGACGGGTGGAATTATGTGTGTATACTGCATTTCTGTCAGGATGTGAGGCAATAATGGAGCTATTCAACCATTCGTACACTTGTCTATTTCTCATAGAAAGATCCTTACTTGGATATCACTTAGCTGGTTCCAGAAACGGGTTGCTATTTGAGGTCCATTCTCCATCGTCGGAATGTGCAAATTCTAGAAGAAAAGAAAAACCTAGTTAAAATATAAAGGTGTTCAGAAAATTGATTTCTGATGGAATTACAAAAGGCTTAGGAACAGAAAGACAAACCAAATAAATGAAAAACCAGCAGTGAAAAGCTTTCTTTTTTCCCCATTTGAGATATAATTTTGTTTCCTCTGTTCAATCTTAATTCAGTGCAAAACAAATTCTGCAGAAGCCAAGCAAGGCTGACAAGATATCATTATTTAACTATCACACAAACATAAAATTCATTCCCAAGAACATAAACTGCCAAAGACATTTTATTTGACAGATACAAATTACATCACAGCATCTGCAAGGAGAATAAGGAGAGAAACGGTATCAGGTATGACATTATGGTGTCTTTCCTCCTGAGAACGCCTATAATTTCAGCAAGATATTCATGTCAGCAGCAAGGTGGATGGTCTTAGTTACAACTGTTGGAACAACTGAAGAACCAGGTTAGAGAGAGATTGTTATGGAGAAAATCTACCTATGTGGTCACTAACAGTCCCTCTTCTTTGTGGCAACTCCTGAGTGTCCTAATATCTCAGGGGCTGCCCCAAAGAAGAGGGAGTCAAGCTATTCTCCAAAGCACCTGAGGGCAGGACAAGAAGCAACGGATGGAAGCTAATCAAGGAGAGAAGCAACCTAGAATTAAGGAGAAATTTCCTGACAATGAGAACAATTAACCAGTGGAACAACCTGCCTCCAGAAGTTGTGAATGCTCCAATACTGGAAGTTTTTAAGAAGAGACTGGACAGCCATTTGTCTGAAATGGTATAGGGTTTCCTGCCTGAGCAGGGGTTGGACTAGAAGATCTGCAATATTCCTCCCAACTCTGTTATTCTATGATTCTATGAGTCAACAATAATTTGATGGCATACAATCAGCTAAATATCAAACAGGCAGTGGTTAGAATTGCAATAACAACTCTGAATCTCCGGCTCTTACCTCTCCCAGGTACAGTATTGTTGAAACAGGACATACAACGCAAGCTGTTCCTGCCCCAAACATCTCCTTCACTCTTTTTTCCTTCAAGGCAGTTCTGAGATCACTCATAGTAATGTATCTCTCTGATACTTTAAATTCACCCTGAGCAAAAATACAAAATAAAAAATAAGCAAGCAGTTCTAGAAGTCATGTTTGCCAAGAGCTAAGACTCTTGCAGTGTTTAAAATCAGGAAAAATCCCATCTCACACAGAAGGATCAAATCTGAGCGGACAGCTACCCACCCACTTGCGTGCCAGATCTAAGATGCTTTGCCTCGTCACACCAGGAAGGATGATGCCGTCCAGCGGTGGGGTTGCCAGCTCATTTTCTGTCAATACAAAGCAGGACACTTCAGCATAAAAGTACAGGATTATACAGTCATATAAAAAATAAGAGTTATAGCAGCCATAAGAAGAGATCTTTTGAAAAACATATCCTAAGAAAAATGTTCTGCTATTGTCCTGTTTCAGTATTTAATGTTCTGAAGAATTTTCCTTCTTACTTCTTGGAAGGTGGATGAATGAGAAAAAAAAAACATTCTCATCTTTTAAAAGACATAATATTAGGATAGGCATAAAATGCTAGATTAAAATGAAGTTGGGGAGTTTGTGGTTCAATGTATTTTAAGAATCCAGCCATCATATTAACATGACACGTGAGGGCCTTTGTAATGTGCCATCCTATGGCTTATTTAGGAGGGCATACCCTCATCTGTTTTGCTGACCAATACCTGCAGGGCCAACCATCCAGATGAGGTAGCAATTGGATGGTCTTCAAGGGTAGCCCCATGTTCAATGCACTGCAGTAGTCCAGTGGTGTTTTCACCAGGACGTGAGTGATCATCCGAAGGGTCTCCTGGTTGAGGAAAGCATGTAACTCTGCTACATCAACCAAGGGCTTGTATGCACACGATCCCCAGGACTACCCCATCTCAAATTTTAGACACATGCCTTTCATTATTCATTCTTTCTGAATGTAAAACTTTTAATTTTCTCCCTTTGGAAGTTCATCCTCTTCCTTTTGGCCCATGTTCAAGTCTTCTCGATCTTTTTGAATCTTCTCTTTTCCTTCTCAAGTGTTTGTCAGTCCTAGTTTCGCCTATTCTGCAAATGTCGTAATCCCACCTTCACCCAAATTATTAGGAAAAAAGATGAACAGCCCAAAGCCCATGTCAAAGTTCCCTCCAATCTTACGTAGAGTCATTTAGGAGTATTCTCTGAATGTAGTTATACAGCCAATTATGACTCTGTATTTCATAATTATATGACATTCATTAAGTAGACTTAGCAATGCATTTAATCATTTTCTCCAATTATAATTCATTTGTTAGCAATGGTGAGGCCCCCTGGAACCACAACCAAGACTTTTTGAGAAGCACTTGGATCTGAGATTCCAGGTTCCCCACCTCTAACATCTTTGCAGGGTGGAACCATGTGGAGGATGGAGACTCCACGTAAAAGCCATTTATTTCCAATATAGTAAATAAGGTTGAGCGGCAGGAAGCTTCAGGTAGCAGTTCAATCAAGTCAGACCCCATACCTCCATTTTCATTTTGCCAGTATAGGAAAAGATTCATCGTCCCGACTTCTGTGATTTGATGGTCATCCCCATAAAGCCAGAGAACCTGCTGGCACCCCAATTCCATGGCTTCACGTTGGGCATAAATTGAAGAGCCATAATTCCTTTGGGGCACAGAGCAAAAGGGTCATTGATCTGCTTGAGAATATACCTACAAGCTTGTGAGCAAATGGGCAGATGGATTTTCTTAAAAAATTTTTTTGAAGAAAATCCAGGTACATAATCATTAGAGGTTTGGGTTACGGACACCACATACAGTACAAAGTAGCACACTGAGCTTTATGGGACTGCTCATATTTATTTTACTGGGCCTTCCACATACTTTTATGTGCAAATAGGTGGTCAAGATAGGTATCACCTTGGGTAAATTGGGCCAAGCCTGGTTAGCATTGGCTGGGATGTCATCAGACAAGGCCACACTATACACCAGGCTGAAAAGCCAGAAAATCCAGAATAAGGAGAAATTTCCTGACAGTGAGAACGATTAATCAGTGGAACAACTTGCCTCCAGAAGTTATGGGTTCTCCAACACTGGAGGTTTTTAAGAAGAGATTGGACAACCATTTGCCTAAAATGGTATAGGGTAGGGGTAGGCATCCTTGACTCTTTTATGACTCGTGGACTTCAACGCCCAGAATTCCTGAGCCAGCCATGCTGAGGGGAAAGGGAGAGGTTTCCAAGCTGAGCCATGCTGGCTCAGGAATTCTGGGAGTTGAAGTTTACAGGTTGTAAAGTTGCCATAGTTGCCCACCCCTGTCTTAATGAGCATGGCTGCAACGAGATTCACTTACCCTCCCAATTTGCAGTCCCCAGTCCCACCTTTCCAAGCTCGGACATATTTTGGATCTGCCCACAAGGAGATAGGGTTGAAGGTGCCACTTGAGAAGTAGGGCCCCACAGGGCTCAGTATCACATAAAGAATGGCCCTTGAGGGCTTCTTGACTCCAAGAGAAGGCTACGCAGAAGAAAGGAAGACAAATACATTGCACTTATAGGTTCTTATCCAGTTCTTATGTCAATATTCAATAAAGCTGAAATGAAATAAAATATAAAGAAAATGTCCTAACATTTCCCATCATCAACAGAACCAATAGGTTAAAAAAGCAAAAAAACATCCTTTGTTGCATGTTTCGGAGCAGAAGCTAAACACCAAATTACTGGGCAAGCTTCAGAGCAAAATGTGGATTTAGTGGCCCAAATATCTCCTTCCAACTTTATGGGTCTATAAATCTATGATTTTTGCAACCACAGGCATTGAGGTAGGAGATGGATCTGTCCAACGGCAGTACCAGAAGATAGAGGTAGATCTTGCTTAAGGATTGCCTTGTTTAGCGACTGTTTAAAGTTCCGACAGAACTTTAAAGTAACTTTTTGGCTACTCCTCACATTTGCAACTATCGCAGCAGCCCATGGTTACGTGATTGCCGTATGTGCACTGCACAATTGGCTTCCAACCAGCAAAGTCAATGGAGAAGCCAGAAGTGAAATGGCAAGTTGTGGTCATGTGATATCTCACTTAATGGACATGGGTGATTTGTTTAATGATAGAAGGAAAACAAATACAGAGATAATTATAAGAATTGAGCTTTGTTAATAGAAAATTAGATGGTGGCAGATCGGATGTGCACAAAGGGGCTTCCTGGAACATGGGATGGACAGTGGTTTTAGGCAGTCTGGATAGTTTATTGGATGATTAGGGAAGGGGCATTGAGTGCAATAGGTGAGGGGGGGAATCTGCGTCAGGGATAGGATATAAAAATGTGTCAAACAGCTCTTTAAAGTGTGGCTGAACTCCTACATGTGTTTCAGTTCACCAAGCCTTTGCAAATGCTTCTTTTTAAATAAAACTTTGTTGCTGGAATTCCAACTGAGCTTGTTCTGGGATCTTGAGCCATGTTCCCAACAAGGATTTGCTCAAAATGACACACATAGACTTGTTACTAAAGCCAATGTCAGTGCTCAAATAACAGGCTACAACATATAGAAATGTCTTCTTATGATTTTGATAAACTAGCTCAGTTCACACAACCTCTAAATCAAGGGCTGGGTCAGTGGTGGCAAACCTATGGCACGGGTGCCAGAGGCGGCACTCAGAGCCCTCTCTGTGGGCACGTACACTGTCGCCCCAGTCCTAGGCCTTCAGCTGGGTTTTATAAAACCTTTTCGCTTTAGGCCTCCGCCGCTGGGTACAACAAAAAAAAAGGTTCAATCAATCAATTTCAACTTCTCGCGGAAAAAAAAAGATCTTGCAAAGTTGGAATTGATTGATTGAACTTTTTAGTCCCACCCAGTCTGCCGTTACCACCGCAGCCATGCCCACCCAATGGGCCACACCCACCCAATGGGCCACACCCACCCAATAGGCCACACCCACCCGGCACCCGACGATGCATAAGTGGGTTTTGGGTTGCAGTTGGGCATTCGGTCTCTAAAAGGTTCACCACCACTGGGCTGGGTTATTCACAGAAAGTTGAATAATAAATGATTCAGTCCCATTTTAGCCCCTTCAATAAGCAATGTAAGTACCAGATGTTAAATGCTGGTTGGGACAAAGGAATGTTGCCAAGACTTGTATGTCTTAAGGTGCAATGAAATGGTTGTTCTACCCAGAAGGGCATCTAGCAAACATTTGGCCCTCATAGCTCATTTGTCCTAATCCACTGACTGACTCAAGGTAGACACAGCCTGTTATGCTTAGGAGAAAAAGGAGGCTAAAATTTCAATCAGTGTAATGAACTGGCAAAATATTGCCACTAGGTGGAACTGTTGTCAACCAGAATAGTGGTAAATTCTTGGTTTCTTCACTCTTGTAAAGAATGCCCAGGAAATGCAAGGTGATTAAGTATTTATTTTTATTTTCCTCTCCTGTCCCTTAGGAAACACCAGATAAATTCCCATGGAACACCCAAAGAAGGTGTCATTGCCACAAGGATCTCAAAGTTCTACTCCAAGTAGAAGAGAAAAGGGTTATTCAGCTTAAATAACGGTCTTTGGGCACTTAGTCCTCAACTTACGACCACAGAATTTGGGAGCAGAATTTCCGTTGCTAAATAAGGCAGTTGTTAAAAAGTGAATTGCACCAATTTTATGACCTTTTTCTGGAACAATTGTTAAGTGATTGTTAAGTGAATCACTGCATTTGTTAAGTGAATCACATGGTCATTAAGCGAATCTGGCTTCTCCACTGACTATGCTTGTCAGAAGCCAATTGGAGAGTTCGCCAACGGCAATTGCATGAAACCCGTTATACTGCAACTGCCAAGCACCTGAATTTTAATCAGGTGGGCATCCTGCAATGGAGATCAATGAGAGGATTGGTCGTGAGTCACTTCTTTCAGTACCATTGCAACTTTGGTCCCTAAATGAATGGTTCAAATTGAGGACTACGTGCATTCATTGGCTCCAAGAAAGCAATGACATAATGGCAAAGTGCATAGAAGATGCCAGGGAAGACCAGAATGGGGATTGAGAAGAGATAAAATGTGCATGATACTGCCACTGTACATCTTGCATCAGATCTGAGACATGAGTGCATAAAAGTGGGATGTCACCAGTGGTGAAATTCAAATACCTGAACAACCAATTCTCTTATTTGATGCAAGCCTGGGCCTCCACGGCCTAGAATGGAATTTTGGAAGTGGCATCCATGCACTTCTGGTGGGGTGTCTAGGCCTGGGAGGCCTCGTCCAGACCTCTGAGGCTTAGGATGGACTTCCAGAATTGGCATCCATGCATTTCTGGTGGGGTGTCTAGGCCTGGGAGGCCTCGTCCAGACCTTTGAGGCTTAGGATGGACTTCCAGAATTGGCATCCATGCACTTCTGGTGGGGTGTCTAGGCCTGGGAGGCCTCGTCCAGACCTTTGAGGCTTAGGATGGACTTCCAGAATTGGCATCCATGCACTTCTGGTGGGGTGTCTAGGCCTGGGAGGCCTCGTCCAGACCTATGAGGCTTAGGATGGACTTCCAGAATTGGCATCCATGCACTTCTGGTGGGGTGTCTAGGCCTGGGAGGCCTTGTCCAGACCTCTGAGGCTTAGGATGGACTTCCGGAAGTGGCATCCATGCACTTCTGGTGGGGTGTCTAGGCCTGGGAGGCCTCGTCCAGACCTCTTAGGATGGACTTCCGGAAGTGGCATCCATGCACTTCTGGTGGGGTGTCTAGGCCTGGGAGGCTTCCTGCAGGCCTCCCAGGCCTAGACTGGACTTCTGGAAGCCAGCCAGTTCTACAGATGCAGCAAAATTTAGTTACTGGTTCTGCTGAATGGGGGGCTTCCTGCAGGCCTCCAAGGCCTAGACTGGACTTCTGGAAGCCAGCCAGTTCTACGGATGCAGCAAAATTTAGTTACCAATTCTGCTGAATCAATGCAAACCGGCCAAATCCCACAAGTGGATGTCACATGACATCACCATGTCAGAACAGGTCGCTAGATTCTGCGCCATAGCACTGGGGATTCGTTGGAAACAGGTGATTAATCCATCATAGCTATTTTACACAATTAAGGGTGGAAAGCCTTTTGCTCTATCACTCTCTTGCATTTTACTTAATGAATATGGGCTAGGCCTGGGAGGCACAGTTTAAGGATTGATATTATAGGACTAGTTAGGCCCAGTGCTGTGTTTTGTTCCTGGGTTACTGGTTCTGCTGAATGGGGGGCTTCCTGCAGGCCTCCAAGGCCTAGACTGGACTTCTGGAAGCCAGCCAGTTCTACGGATGCAGCAAAATTTAGTTACCAATTCTGCTGAATCAATGCAAACCGGCCAAATCCCACAAGTGGATGTCACATGACATCACCATGTCAGAACAGGTCGCTAGATTCTGCGCCATAGCACTGGGGATTCGTTGGAAACAGGTGATTAATCCATCATAGCTATTTTACACAATTAAGGGTGGAAAGCCTTTTGCTCTATCACTCTCTTGCATTTTAGTACTTAATGAATATGGGCCTCACAGTTTAAGGATTGATATTATAGGTTAGTTAGGCCATGCTGTGTTTTGTTCCTGGGCAGCTGACAGATTGGATGCCCAATTGTGATTTTTAATATAAATTTAATTGTTATTTATTATTTTATTCTAGAATTTTTAACTGGATATTCCTTGAGGGTTTTAAACTAGCTCTGTCCTTTGACCGTAATAAGCATCAGCTTGACTTGACGTCAACATGTATCACACTATTTTTGTGTCGTTGTGCTTTGCCCTTGGGATTGTTGAGAAGGAATGAAGGAAAGAAGGAACAAAAAACGTATTTTCTTCCCACCTCTGTCCCAATTAAAGTAGGGCGGATATACAAGCTAGCAGAGGTTGAATAGGGTACCCACTCCTTCTCAACTTCCACCAGTTTCTGGATACACTGCAGAAGTTCTTCTTTGTCAAATCCCTGCAAGTGGAAAGAGAAGGAGGCAACACTTAGAAACAATCTTGAAGTGGAAACACCCGAATGACAACATCAGGTTTGGTTGATTGTTCAAAGGCAGGGATGTTCCAGGATGTCTACCAATCTGCTATTAGTGTGCAACAAGCTATAGCACTTAGACTTATATACCGCTTCTCAATGCTTTACAGCCCTCTCTAAGCGATTTACAGGATCAGCCTATGGCCCCCTAACAATCTGGGTCCTCATTTTACCCATCTTGGAAGTATGGAGGGCTGAGTCAATCTTGAGACAGTCAGGATTGAACTGCTGGCAGTCAGCGGAGTTAGCCTGCAATACTGCACTCCACCACTGAGCCACCATGGCTACAGTGCTAAAGAATCTTATGGCTGTAACCACTCAAGAAATAAGTTGGTTTAAGTGGCTTTATCACAGTTGTGAAACAGGTTTCAAAATGATAATCACAGAAGGGTGTTGTTGGGGAGTATTTTTCCCTCTGGCAATAGTGGGGGAAAAGGGGTGGTAGCAGATACTACTTGAAGATAACTTCAATTATATTCTCACAGATGAAACATGAACTGAAGAATGAAGGGACCGAGGAGGACGTGTACATATCCCTTCTTTCCATCAGTCTGTTGTCTTCAAAGCTTCCTGCATTTCAGGTTAATTCCTAAGGGCAAATGCCACTCAAGACTCTCTGATCTTGCTTATTTTCTTGCAGACCTTTCATTACCCTAAGTAACATCATCAGTGCTGTTGATTTTACCTAGTTTGGGTAATGAAACATCGGCAAGAAAACAAGCAAGCTCAGAGAGCACCAAGGACCTCTCATTCCAACCTTGAGCTACAAATATTCTCCTTTATTGGTAATCAAGACTTCCTCCAACAGTGGCCCTTTTAAAAGAAAATAATTAAACCTCTTGGAGGTAAGTGTGGAGAGCTAAGCAGGCATCAGAGTGATGGAAAGAGATGGAATGGAAAAGGGCAACGTCAATCATTGGAACACCCCATAGTCAAATCATTACTAAGAGGAACTTGAGAATAAGATAAAAAAAGAGATGCCTGATTACAAGGGAACATGAACAGCATCCTCTTAGTTAACAAAGGAAAACGGAGGTTTGCATTACGCACTGGCAAAGTTGCTCGCGCTGCTGACCGTAACATCCTGTCCATGTTGAGTCTCGGCCGGAACAAGCGTATTTTGCCATCCACACCTCGATATGCTTTCATGCCTTCGAACAGCTAAAGGAAGCAGAACATACCAGTTGGGAGTGACACTGGCCCCCATACTTCAACGCATGCACCCGTAATTAAAATAAGGAAACTGGTTAAAATAAACGTGTGTTCTTTCCAAATGTTATACAAATTAAGGTATTCATTTAAAACGAGTTAAAAACCAATGGTTTTTATTTCGCTTCAAATGACAAGTAGCCGGTGGAAAATTCCTACATTACTCCAGAGGTGCTAAAGAGGATTGTTTGGACTGCAGGGGAATATGGACTTAAACGTCTACCACTCATTAAAGCAGCTGCATCTGTTTCTTTTTTCTGTCCCACTGCATCCATGCAAACCTGAAAGTTGTTACAGCTGCTTAAATGAGTTGTAGATAGATGCCATTTGCTTCCTGCATATTAGCATGCATTGCTATATAAGTATTAATTGGCTACCTCATTCTCTTACGTTCAGAAGAACTATTGACCTATGACTTTATAAAGCCTCTTAGAGGATCACTCAACATCGCAGCACATGGGGCTTCCTATCCTAAACTTCCTATTTAATTTCCTATTAGGATAGTGACTGATTACTACATAGCTGTTTAACTATTCAAATGTTGCTTTTAACTATTAATGGGAAATTTAAAATGAATGTGAACGTGAAGCAGATTGGTCGAGATGTAACTAAACCATGATGTCCCACTAGTGAACACACTGAAAACTTTTCAGTCTTCCTATCTAATCAATCCAGGCTTTTGACAAACATTATTGACCAAGTCAGACAAAGAGGTGAAAAGATAATGAGGCCATCTTGTGAATATCTAGACTCTACCCCAGTGGTTCTCAACCTTTTTAATGCCGCGACCCCCAACCAGTCGTAAGTCGAGGACTACTCAACTGGTGCAGCACCATTTGCAGAATGGGACTTTTGGCGGGCTCAGCAGGGCAGAGACAGCCTGGACAATTCCTATTGGCTTTTGAAAGCCAATAGAATTAGACTCTATTCAAGAGAGTCTATTCTATTGGCTTTCAAAAGCCAATAGAATAAAAGGGAATAGCACAGCTAAGGTAAAGGGGGAAAAAATGGCGGACTGCATTGTTTGGTGACCCCCATGAAATGGTCGTTCGACCCCAAATGGGGTCCCGACCCACAGGTTGAGAACCACTGCTCTACCCCATGTGGCAACTGTTTTGTGTGATCACATACTGTATCTCAACATTAAAATTTTCCCCAGGTTGAAATGAATGCCTACAGCTCAGTATACTTAGAACTGTAACTTTTGCTTATTCAATTGGGAAATTGCTAATGGTTTTTACACATCTCAGTATTAAAGTAACAATAAATCTTTGACCTTGAGGCAGGGGACAGGGGCTATCAGTTTCAAATCTATTCTTGAATTCATGAGAGCCAGAAAATTAATTAATTTACTAGTTTGGTTCTTCAAGTCCTGAACAAAAAAGTATGGATATCGCCTCAAGCAGCTGGATTTTCCAAGTGAAAAAAGAATTGATGCCGCTGGTTCAAAAGGCTTTTCTGACTGATTCCTACACAGTTCTCTGGAATTCAATAGTTGCTGGTTCTACAAGGCTCATAGTTGATGGAAAATGCAACAGAACTATTATTAGCTATTAGTGAAATCTGCTTTGGTCTCACTAGTGCAGTATAAAGTGGTATTGTCACCTCACGATATCAGAATTTTTTTTGTCATTTTTGATTCCAGCAGTGAGCAGGAAGTTGGCCTTGGTAATCTCAACTGTCCATTCCAATTCTATGATTCTAGCTATGATTGAAGATGACTTTATCCTTCCATGCTTTTAATGGAGAACTTTCTTACTATGTCTGGATAATTTGATTTTTTTTTTCAAAAAAATTAATGCTTTTGAAATCTGCTTTCTACTCTTACTTTGGGAAATCTTATATTATTTTGAAAATCTGTTTATACTGAAAGGGTAATAGGTTTAAAAAAAAACTGAGAATATGAATAACCTATTATTTTTAAAAGTATTGTTAACGTGAGGCCATGTCGGTGAACAGCCCCTGGCTTAGAGTCTGCATAAATTTTCCAAAAAGGCTGAGCTTCTATAATTTGGGGTATATGGACAGCCAACATGCGCTCAGAAAGAGCCCCAAATTTCAACTGACCCTTTTTATTCCTTGAATAAGATTCCTGCTTAAGTTACCATTTCATTCCCCCTTCTCTGAAAATACATTCCACTGAATGCAGTGAGACCGATTTAGGATTCGCGTGTAAAATTGTCGCTACTTATTTTATTGTCTCTTTGTTAGACACGTATCTCTCCTTTCATTTAGGCACTCTAACTGGCATACACAGTATTTTCCTTCTCCTATTTTCTGTCTAATGGTGGACCAGAATCGTGGTCTCCCATATCTAGCTCAACACCTTAACCATTACACTACATTGGCTCTCTGTATTTCAACTGTTTGGGCAATGTTAACTTAGTAGCAAACTCAAACTACTTAACTTGGCCAAGAGACTGACTTTCAGAGGTTTGTGGACAACTGCTGCTTCAGGCTGTCTAGCACAGGATCTCTATTTGTGAGCAAACTCGTTAATTTTATGATTATTGCAGTACTGTCAAGTCTTATTTCACGGTGTAACAAACAGATCACCAGAAACAAATACTAGAAGAGGAATCCGATCTCCGTAATTTGTCGGTACAACGCCCAGTTAGACCAATCTTTCTCAATCTGGCCACTTTCCAGCTGAGTTCGGTTGTTTTCCTGCAGATGTTTCATTGCCAACATAAAAGAATATTTTGTAGCTCAGTGTTGAACTGTGTGTCCTTGGTGCTCTCTGAGATTGGTTGTCTTCTTGCAGATGTTCTATTATCCAACTCGGTGATACCATCAGTGCCGTGATGCAGAGTTAGGTAATGAAATGTCTGCAAGAAAACAAGCAAGCTCAGAGAGCACCAAGGACACCACAGTTCAACCCTGAGCTACACATACTCTTTTGTAGGGTAGACTTCAACTGTCAGAACCGGATACACCAAGGAGAAAAGGCTACGTTCTGCACATCTGGAGGGTGCCCAAGTTGAGGAAGACTCCACTGGACCATCCGCAAAGCTGGCAGAGGCCAGATTATCTGAGGAATCACAGATCACAAGGAAGGAACATTTAGTCTCACGTTATACCCACTGTGTATTCATTGAGCCATAGCATTTGGAGCAGTTTCGCCTCTGTCACTCCTCTTGGCTAGAGGAAACGTGATGCAATAAGGTTAAAAGTAAATAAAACAATGAAAACAATGGGGGGACATATGCAGATGAGGAAAAAAAAAAGAAAGAAGAGCATATTCATTGTTAGCAGCGAGGATTTCAGATCATGAGTTTTACAGCAGTAACGCTACTCAGAGAGAGACAGAGAAGGCCTGAAACTCCAGCGTGGTTCCTTTGCTCTTTGTGAATAAGTCTAGATCAGGGATCCCCAACCCCCGGGCTGTGGATCAGTACCGGGCCACGGCATGCCAGCAACCGGTCCGCACAAACAAGCAAAGCCCCATCTGTGGGATGCAGGCAGCACACAAAACCACGCAACCCTCCAGTCCATGGAAAAACTTTTCTCCACGGAACCGGTCCCTGGTACCCCAAAGTTTGAGGACCTCTGATCTAGATCTCCTCAGCCACAGAGACTGAAAAAAAAATATCATCGCACTGGCCTTTGGAAGGCGAGATAGATATAGGTAGTCCTCAACTTACGACCACAACGGAGCCCCAAGTTTAGACTATGTTGTTGAGTGAGATGGTCATTAAAGCGAATTTTGCCCTGTTTTGCAACCTTTCTTGCCAGTCATTAACCGAATCATTGCACCTGTTCAGTCAGTAACACAGTTGTTAAATCAATCAGATTTTCCCCCATTGACTTTGCTTGTCAGAAGGCTGCAAAAGGAGATCACGTCATCCTGGTACACTGCCACCGTCATAAATCCAAGTCAATTGCCAAATGTCCAAATTTTGATCATGTGAACATGGGGATGCTGCAACAGTTGTAAATGTGAAAAACAGCCGTAAGTCACTTTTTTCAATGATCTTGTAACTTTGAACGGTCACCAAGTGGACCGTTGTAAGTCAAGGACTACCTGTACCTTAAAATCAATCAATCAATCAATCAATCAATCAAAACAGAAAGGAATGAAAAAAAATCCCAGTGGAGTCCTCCCAAAAAAGAGAATGGGGAAAAAAGGGTTGAGGTTCTAGATTCCTCACCATCACTTCTGAAAAACACTGGAAGTGCACAAATCAGAGTATGATTTTGTTTCATTCTTGAGATCCAGTTTTTTTTTAATCATTACAAACACTGCCAAAGAGGGGGACGAAAAAGAAAGGGGTTTGAAAGAATTGCTCCACGTTTTCTCCTCACTTTCTGGCACCCAAAACGTGCCCTTTATTAAGGCTCCGACACAAATGGAATATAACCTGTATTGATGTTTTTGGACTATGATCTGGAACCTTGGGCCCTACGCACCTTGATCAGTAACCACGCTGGTTTCTGGCAGTTACCAATTCATTTCAGTACAGGTGGGCAGCTTGCTTTCTGACACACCAAAAGCTCATTCAAAAATTTGTCTTGATTTTCCAGAACCCCAAGCATCGAATTATAACGATAAGGATAGATGGCACTCCCATTACATTGCAGATACAGTGCTTACTGCGGGAACGTCCCGTTCATCTGTAAATCTGGAACATCCTGTTCAACTGTAAATACTCCAGTTTTGCAAATGATGGATATATGTGTAAATTGGCCTTAAATCAGAGTGGAGCTATCTTTGCATGACACACTAAACCAGGGGTAGGCAACCTTGGCTCTTTTATGACTCGTGGATTTCAACTCCCAGAATTCCTGAGCCAGCTTGGCTGGCTCAGGAATTCTGGCAGTTGAAGACCACGAGTTATAAAAGAGCCAAGGTTGACTACCCCTGCACTAAACCAAAAAAACTCATTAAGGCATAGAAGGTCTTCAGTGAAAGGCCTATAATATCTGAACAAAATGGACCACCTTTTTCCACAGAAACCAGTATTTGAAATCAAGGCTTATCACAAATTTATCAATTCAAGTTTCCCGCAAACTTAAAATAGCAGCCATTCCTGATTTAGATGGTGTAGTTAGCGTGAAACCTCAGATGCAATCATGAATAATGGGGTTAAGATTTACTACAACAATTATAAGTGCAAGATCCGGTCCTAAGTCACTTTTTTTCACTACCATCGTAACTTTGAACAGTTGCTAAATGAATGGCTGTAGGTTAAGGACTACCTGTATATCAAAGAGGATAAAGTATGGTTCTCAGAATTTACTGCTTTTTTGATCAGCTGCAGCTTTTTTGTTTGGTGCCTTCACTGATATTGCAGTTGTGAAGAACTGCATTTGGGGAAATGATACATTCTAAGAATTGTTCCTGTTTATATCACCCCTGTTGTACTGTCAGCCATGAAATAAACATATACTGTATTGGCAGCTATACTAATAAACTACAATAGCAATAGCTCTTAGACTTAATAACAATAATAAAGTTGGAAGGGACCTTGGAGGTCATCTAGTCCAACCCCCTGCTCAGGCAGGAAACCCTATACCATTTCGAACAAATGGCTGTCCAGTCTCTTCTTTAAAATCTTCCAGTGTTGGAGCATTCACCGCTTCTGGAGGCAGGTTGTTCCACTAATTAATTGTTCTCACTGTCAGGAAGTTTCTCCTTAGTTCTAGGTTGCTTCTCTCCTTGCTTAGTTTCCACCCATTGCTTCTTGTCCTGCCTTCAGGCGCCTTGGAGAATAGCTTGACTCCCTCTTCTTTGTGGCAGCCCCTGAGATATTGGAACACTGCTATCATGTCCCCTCTTTATTAGACTAGACATACCCTATTCCAGCAACCATTCCTTATGTAACACTTGTGCTTTACATCTCTCTCTAAGTGATTTACAGAGTCAGCCTATTGCCCCCAGCAATCTGGATCCTTATTTTACCGACCTCATAAGGATCGAAGGCTGAGTTAACCTTGAGTTGGTGAGAATCAAACTGCCAAACTGTAGGCAGCCGGCAGGAAGCAGAAGTAGCCTGCAGTACTGCATTCTAACCACTGCACCACCACTGCACTCACAACAGCCTTCAATAGCTGTTATAAATGAAGAAACAGCAACACAAATGTGTCTTTGGCCATTTGACAAACAAGAGAATAAATATGGTTACCTTCACTATTTCTTGGTTAGTTTCACACATTGTACTAAACCATAATGAGGATTGGTTTGGCGTTCATGCGTCTTGCAAAGCCAGCCACTGTGGATTGTAAATTGTGAATGTTGCTTAACTCAGCATTGACTCGTTAAAAAAAAAAGTATGTCTAAAGTTTAGTCTGATGCTTAAACCATTGACAATACTTACTAGCATCTCAGAAGAACAGTGTCAGTTAAAATGTGATGCATGGGTTGTCATGACTGATGTATCTTCAACAAATGCAATTTTTTAAGCGAAAAAAATGGTGAGTGACCCTACATTGGCATTTTCTTACTATCTGTAAGAAGAAGCCAACAAGGGGCATTGGAAGTTGGAAAACATCAGTTTCTTCCCTCATCTACCTATTCCAGGGGGAAATGAAGATCAGCAAAATGATTTTCAAAATCTGGACTTTATCCGTTCACTGTTCATGCCTCACCCTCTTAATCAATCATTCTTTTCCAACTTGATGTTCTCCAGATGTGTTCAACTCTCCTCATTCTGGGGAATTAAACTCCAACACAACTGGAGAAAGCTGGGAAAGACTATCCTTGGGAGACTTTGCACTGACTTGAAACGAAAAGAAGTCACATTTGTATAAAAGACCACACTATTATTTTTTTTTAATTTAATGACAAAGATAGAATGAAGTTTCTCTTCATTCTGTCGCTATACTCACTTCCACAGCATAATGCAGTGCTGAGATGGCTGGATGCACAGAGAGATTCTCCAAGGGCTTAATCTGAGGAACATCCCATCCAGATTTTAAGGACCATTCAATAAACAGCATGTTGTCTGTGAAAACTGTCCCAAATACTAAGCCATTTGGGTCCGGCTTCTCCTTCAGCGTGGTAGATGGATTGATAACAAGATCATCAGCCTGAACAAAACAAGACAAAATTATATTTTTTTAAAAAATTGGCAGCCCTTATTCAGAATAAGAGAGTTGGAAGGGACCTTGGAGGTCATCCAGTCCAACCCCCTGCTCCTTGGCAGGAGACCCAATGCCATTTCAGATAAATGGCTGTCCAATATCTTCTTAAAAACCTCCAGTGATGGAGCACTTCTGAAGGCAAATTGTTCCACTGTTAATTGTTCTCACTGTCCGGAAATTTCTCTTTATTTCTAGATTGATTCTCTCCTTGATTAGTTTCTATCCATTGCTTCCTGACAAAGATGCTTTGGAGAACAGACTGACCCCCCCCCTCTTTTTTGTGGCAGCCCCTCAAATCTTGGAACACTGCTAGCATATCATCACCATTCCTTTATTTCATTGGAGTAAACATATCCAGTGGTTGGATTCAAATATGTGAACAACCGGTTCTCTGTGTGGATGTCGCTTCCGGAAGTCCATTCTGGACCTGGGCAACAAAAAATTAGCTACCGGTTCTGCTGAAGTGGTGTGAACTGGCTGAATCCCATCACTGGACATATCCAATATTGTATCTCCATCAATGTACCACCATCAAAATTGTGTATGTTGATGTATCCTTGTCAAAAATGAACTCAACTTGTTTGCTGAGAACAAAATAGAGATGAAAAAGGGGATTTCTAAAAACAACCTCAAAGAAACATGGAAAATTAATCATTCTCGTTCTGTTTCTTAAAATTATCCATAGACTAAAAACTAGATTGAAGATGGCCACTAAATCTGAAAAGCATTTCTGAGGAATTACAAGGGCCAAGTAAACCTGCAACTTTAAAGTTTGAGTTGATCTGAAAGGCAGAAGGGAAAGTGACTCTCTAAATCAAAAAATGTTGGCACTTCCATTTTTAAATGTCACAAAATGTTAAATGCCTTTTCCCAATTTTAAAGTATCTGAAAGATATCTGGAATTGCTTTATTTCCACATGAAAATACGTCTGTCCCCATAAATGAGGACCCAGATTGTTGGGGGAAATGTAAATATATATATATATATATATATATATATATATATATATATATATATATATATACATACATACATACATACATACATTGCTTACTGGTGTACACTGCTTAGAGAGTGCTTGCACTTAAAGCGGTATATAAGTCTCATAAATAAATAAATAAATAAATAAATGTCATCATTATCGTTCTACTGAACAACTGAACTAATAGTCCTTGACTTATAACAGTTCATTTAGTGACCGTTCAAAATTACGACAGTGGTCACAATTACAACCAATCCAGCATCCCCATGATCACGTCATCAAAATTTAGACACTTGGCAACTGATTCATATTTATGACGGTTGCAATGTCCTAGGTCCTGCGATCTTCAGACAAGCAAAGTCAATGGAGAAGTCAGATTCACTTAACATCCGCGTTACTAACTTAATAATTGCAGTGATTTATTTAAAAACAAGAAAGTTTGTAAAATGGGGCAAAAATTCATTTAACAAATGCCTGGCTTAGCAACAGAAATTGTGATCGTAAGTCAAGGAGTACCTGTATTCTCATTCAGTTTGATGAAGAAAAAGTTATTTAAATCCAGGGCTTTTTTTCTCATAGAACGCTCAGAACGGAGTTCCAGCACCTTTTATGGATGGAACCTTGTAGGGTAGGCAAGGCGGGTTGTATGACGTGTGTGAGTTCCGGCACCTTTTGTTTTTTTAACAAAAAAAGCACTGTTTAAATCTGTCTGCTTGGTTTTTTTGTCGGAGTTGAGAGTTTCAGAAGACGGTTGATGCCCACTCTGCTAAGATCTGGAATGGTCTCTCAAGAGAACTGTACTTTTACCAGATCACACCCTATTTTCATGAGAAAGATTTCAGTTCCCACAGCTCTCTTTCCCAACTCTTGACTCTACTTGGCTGCTGTCTATCTCCTGCAGAAAAATATCTGCAGAGCTAGGCCAAAATTTATTGGAAAAGAATGCAGTGTCTTTGCATTTTGACCCACAGTCCCAAATTCTATTTTTATAGAAGTGCCACTTTCTAGAACTGACTCTCAAAGATTGGATTTCACAGGCGTGCACTAAATTTGCTAATTGCTTGTTTATAGATGCCTTTTCTGCACGCATGAAATATTCCATAATCTGTGGTAATGTAATGAAACAGAAGGGCTTACTGTGAAAGTAGCATCTGCATGCACAAATACATACACACACACCTGCTAGTGCGCGCACGCACGCACACACACACACACACATGTAAATTGGGAAACATTCATTATTGTCTTCACTTCTATTCCATATTTCAAATTTTAGATCCACCTATCTGTGCTGACCTCCCAAGACAATTAAACCTCAAACCACGGCAGTGAAGCCATATCAAACCACAAATAAACCTCAATTTATGATGGGTTGCTTAGTGCCCATTCTATGTTACAACGGACCCCCCCAGGGCTACGAAGTTCTGGAGGCTGCACATCCCAACAAGTCACTTGTTTACATTTGGGGTGCTCAGGAATCAGCCAGAATTTGCAGCTATTTGAAAGTGTTCTGTGATCATGTGACCACAATTTACAATGGTGTTTTTTTTTGCCAGAAACGTATTTCCTTCTGATTTCCAGCAAAACAAAAAAAAAACCCTCCTCTAGTCATTGCAGACAATGGATTCACTTCATGAGCACCACACTCATTTAATGACTCCAGTGTTTCACTTAACAGACTCTGCACAAAAGGTTGTAAAATTGGGTGTGGTCATGTGGTGACCCACTTAATGATTACCATGATTTGCAACCATAATTCTGGGCTCAGTTACGATCATAAGTCAGGCTACCTATATCAGTGCATAAAGAGCAAAAACAGATTTAAAAAAATAGTAAGATTAAGACTTTTAAAGAGGCCTCAATAGAACAAAAACTGCACTGTCAGTTCTCATCTGGACAAAGGTTTGTCTCCTAAAATAGAAGGATCTCCACCTAAAAAAAAAAAAAGAAATCTAAAAGGGCAGATATAAATAATAATAAAGTTGGAAGGGATCTTGGAGGTCATCTAGTCCAAACCCGGCTCAGGCAGGAAACCCTATACCATTTCGGACAAATGGCTGTCCAGTCTCTTCTTTAAAACTTCCTGTGTTGGTGCATTCACCGCTTCTGGAGGCAGGTTGTTCCACTGGTTAATTGTTCTCACTGTCAGGAAGTTTCTCCTTAGTTCTAGGTTGCTTCTCTCCTTGATTAGTTTCCATCCGTTGCTTCTTGTCCTGCCTTCAGGCGCTTTGGAGAATAGCTTGACTCCCTCTTCTTTGGGGCAGCCCCTGAGATATTGGAACACTGCTATCATGTCCCCCCTTGTCCTTCTCTTCATTAAACTAGACATGCCCAATTCCAGCAACCGTTCCTCATATGTTTTAGCCTCCAGTCCCCTAATCATCTTTGTTGCTCTTCTTTGCACTCTTTCTAGAGCCTCAAAATCTTTTTTACATCGTGGTGACCAAAACTGGATGCAATATATAAAGCTTAGAAGATTTTTTTCTCTCATGCTTTTGACAGATGTCTCAGATTATCAGATGCAGCTACAGAAGTATGTCTGTTGAACTTCCAAAAATGTCAGGGATTAAGAGGCAGACTTGCAAAGAACAAAATTGAACATAGGAAAGCCAGTATTAATGCTAACTCAATGTTCAGAAAAGAAGGACGTTCTTTTTAAGAAAAATGAAACAGTCATCAGGATGCTACGCTGAAAACTGAAAGGCAATCCAAGGTTAACGTTGCCTAGTCAGTCAAGGTTTCCTCAGGGAAGACTCTGCTGTACATTTTAAATCCCTCAGTTTCCAGTTCCAGCAGCAACCGTACAGCAAATATTCTGCTCTCTTTTTGCTGATTTCAAGAGAAACCTAAGCTCAATCACACCTGGTTAGTACAGACTAAAGATGATCCGGAAACCAAGGGCTATAGTTAGATGCTGAAGCCCAAAAAATTATTAATGAAACCTATTTGTACACCAATGTAACATGTTAGGAGTCCTGATAGTTAACAAGGAATGCACAACAATTACACACTAATTACAATGTCCAGGATATGCATATAATAAGCCGATTTAAGTAAAATAGTTAGGATAATAACCAGAACCATTATTACGAAAATAATTGTGTGGATGTGTCTTGTGTAGCTTCGTTTCAACAGAGTGTTGTTTTTGTTTAGTTTTGCATGATGAAAATATGATGACTATGCATAAATTATTGGGCATGCAGAAAGTAAGACCAGAAGGACTTGAGTTCCAGTCCATTCTCAGCTATGGAAATGCACTATCGAAACTTCACAGCCGGGTCATGATGGAGAGGTCTGTCGTAACTTTGAACGATTGCTAAGTAACTGGTTGTAAGTTGAGGATCAGCTCTAGGGAGGACACAGACTTGAGTAGGCTAGATTATGCAACATGGGCTACATGCAGGTCGTCCTCAACTTATGACCACAGTCGATCCTAAAATTTCTGTCACTAAGCAAGTCAGGAGTCGAGTGGGTTTTGCCCCATTTTATGTTCTTTCTTTGCCATGGTGGTTAAGTGAATCCAGCTTCCCTACTCACTTTGCTTATCAGACGGTCACAAAAGGTGCATCACACGACCTCAGGACACTGCAACCGCCATAAATATGAATCAATTGCCAAACATCTGAATTTTGGTCATGTGACCACAGGGATGCTGCAGTGGTCCTAAGTTTGAAAAACGGTCATGAAATTATATTTTTCAGTGTTATTGTAACTTTGGGCAGTAAACAAATGGTTATAAGTCTGAAATGATATAGAGCAGAGGTAGGCAACCTTGGCTCTTTTATGACTCGTGGACTTCAATTCCCAGAATTCCTGAGCCACCATGGCTCAGCATGGAAATGTCTCCCTTTCCCCTCAGCATGGCTGGCTCAGGAATTCTGGGAGTTGAAGTCCACGAGTCATAAAAGGGCCAAGGTTGCCTATCCCTCATATAAGGTTTCGTGCCTGAGCAAGGGGTTGGACTAGAAGACCTCCAAGGTCCCTTCCAACTCTGTTATTCTGTATCCAAATTACAGATAATGTACTTTACATTATGTCCATAGGTCCCTAACACACATCCATCCAATATGTGTTGCATTTTCCTAGGACCATATTATCTTCACTCAACATACATGTAATATTCTTTGCCACAAGATGTCTACTTTTCTTTTCTTTCTTTTCTTTTTTTGTTCAATTTAGGCTTGATTTATATACTGTATTTTCCGGCGTATAAGATGACTTTCTAAAGCATGCAAATTATCTCCGAAGTCGGGGGTTGTCTTATACACCGAGTTGTCTTATACGCTGGAAAATACGGTAGTTTCTGGCGTATAAGATGACTTTCTAAGCATGCAAATCGTCTCCGAAGTTGGGGGTCGTCTTATACGCCGAGTCTTCATATATGCCGGAAAATACGGTAGTTCTGACTTTTACTTTCCTTAAGGAAAAATTTTGACTTTTCTTCCTTTAAAACGTGTAGGAGATACTCTGTGTTAAATAAGGGCAGGGAAATTAAGTGTTAATATTACTTTTACATCTCATGCAAAAATATGAAGGACAGGATAAGAAACCACTGATTCATTTCCTTGTTAGAAGTCCTAATTGAGGAAATGTGAAAGCTGACTTGTCCATTTTTCAAACTAGTCCCACACAGTTTGGGGCCCAGCCAAATTGAAGAGGAAAGTGTTTTGTAAAGTTATGATCATTCAGTTCAATTGTGTGGTTGCGAGACACACTATCCCTCATGGAACCTCAACAAGATGGCCTGGGTTCATTATGTGGAAACAAATGTTCTGAAGATCATGAGAAGGCAGATGACAAGAATGTATAAAATAGCGCCTTCTTTTTGGTAATGCGCATTCAGAAATGTGAACTGGGTTCATACAATAGATTGTTTTCCTTTCAATCCAGCTGTTTTCTTGGAATGTTGTGGGAACCAGGGCTTCATATATGCCATTATAGTTTGAGTGTATCAAGTTTTGTGAATATGGCAATCATATGTTGTTAATCCAAGGTCAATGAGTTGTGTGAATGCAGCCAAAATCTATTCCATTTAAATAAACAAACAGAAGTGATCAAAGTACTGAGTATCAGAAATCAGAAATTCCCTTTCCTCCAAAAAAGGAGGAGGAGGAGGAGAAGGAGAAGAAAAGAAGAAGAAGAAGAAGAAGAAGAAGAAGAAGAAGAAGAAGAAGAAGAAGAAGAAGAAGAAGAAGAAGAAGAAGAAGAAGTAGAAGAAGAAGAAGAAGAAGAAGAAGAAGAAGAAGAAGAAGAAGAAGAAGAAGAAGAAGAAGAAGAAGAAGACATTTTAGAATATTTTCATATTTGGCAATATACTGAGGGAAACCAACCAAGTCTCATAAACAGCATTACAGCAAAGCATATCAGGCCCTTCAAAGCTCACCACAAACTTGCTAAAATTCCTGTTTATGGTTTACCTCAGTTTAACTGTTTTTCAAGAACATGGCTAAGTCTTGGCAAAATCTGGGCCTTTTTTTAAAGAGTCAGTGGAGTTTATAAGCTAAGCGAGACATTTGTTGTGAATTTTGCCTCATTTTATGATCTTTCTTGCCACCGTTGTTATGCAGCTGGCTTCCCCATTAACTTTGCTTGTCAGAAGGCCGCAAAAGGTGATCACATGACCCTGGGACCCTGCCACTGTCATAAATACAGTCCAGTTGCTAAGCATTTGAATTTTGATCATGTGACTCTGGGGATGCTGCAACAGTCGTAAGTGTGAAAAACTGTCACGAGTCACTTTTTTCAGTTCCATTGTCACTTTGAACAGTCACTAAATGAACTTTATAAGTCGAGGACTACCTGTAATCCAAAAATCACAAAGGGGACTGCACATTCAAAGGGGGGGGGGGAGAGAGATTGCTCCCATTGTCCCTGAATGCTCTCAGCACAAGCATGCTTCACAATGTGCTTCGTGAGACACAAGAGAACATTGCAATGAGCAAGGACATACATTCAATTTCACAGCTGCTGCGATTGTTAGCCAAGCAGGTACAAAGATAGCCAGGGGAAATGATTGAAGCTTGGGGAAAGGGCCCCTTGTCAGATAACAGGAGTACTGATTTACTACCAGCATATCAGGTATTTGAGAATTTAGCAGAATAAGGAAACAACAGATGACGACTTAATAGCTGGCCATCAACACCTCAATCAACAAATAATAATAATTTTTAAAAACCACATACAACCAGACACCACATACTGTAAATGCTATGCATAGACTAGCCCACAACACACATTCTGGTAGAGCAGTGGTTCTCAACCTGTGGGTCGGGACCCCATTTGGGGTCGAACGACCATTTCACGGGGGTCGCCAAACAACGCAGTCCGCCATTTTTTCCCACCTTTTCCTTAGCTGTGCTACTCCCTTTTATTCTATTGGCTTTTGAAAGCCAATAGAATAGACTCTCTTGAATAGAGTCTAATTCTATTGGCTTTCAAAAGCCAATAGGAATTGTCCAAGCTGTCTCTGCCCTGCTGAGCCCGTCAAAAGTCCCATTCTGCAAACGGTGCTGCACCAGTTGAGTAGTCCTCGACTTACGACCGGTTGAGTAGTCCTCAACTTACGACCAGTTGGGGGTCACGGCATTAAAAAGGTTGAGAACCACTGCGGTAGAGGATGGGCTACAGCATAAATCTGAAAGCTTGGAACACTAAATCTCTGGTCCTGGAGACCGATCTAGATTGGATCCTGCAACACCTGGGAATGCTTAACCTCAATGCACCCTCCAGGTTGGCAGCACTCTTGATTGTCCATAATTCTCTTTATCCTTCAAGGAGAGTTTCCCACACTGAGTTGAACACCCCTGCAGGCGTTTCTGTTTTGGCAAACGAACCCACCTTGAAAGAGTCGGTCATGGGTTTTGCAGCTGCCTCTGTGCATCCATCCGCATAGTCATTTTGGCAACCCTGTAACGGACAAAGGACAACGCTTAAAAAAATACAATTCAATCAAAGTTCCAAAGTCATCTTTAATGTACTCTTCCAGCAGTTTGCACCTGTTCAGGGAACATTTGGGGCACTTGCGGAGAAATGGGGTGATGGATTAGAAGAAAGCTTGAAAAGAGTAATCTGAGATCTACAGTTTATAATCTTGCAAGAAAATCTGGTACAATCAGCATTTGGGATTCCTCAGAGGATAAATCCTGCTTTGCCCGGTCTTGGGATTCTCAATACTGAAGAACAAAGGGACAATTGTTTCTGAATTAAAAGTTCAACCATTAGTCAGGAATTGCTTGCAATGTCCACTGCGAGGACCATATCCACATTTTAAAAAAGGCTTCTGGAAAACTAGATCAGCTCCAAAGAAGAAAAATGAGGGTGATTCGGGGATGGGAAACAGATCCTACAAGGTGAGACAGGGAAAAAAATGGCATACTGAGAAAAGATAACTGAGAGGAGACACAGGTGGTCCTCAACTTATGATGATAATTGAGCACAATATTCCCACTGCTGAGCAAGATGCTTGTTCAGTGAGTTTTGTTCCGTTTTACAATGTTTCTTGCCACAATTCTGAAGCGAATCACTACAGTTGCTAATTTACCGTATTTTCCGGCGTATAAGACAACTTTCTAAGCATGCAAATTGTCTCCGAAGTCGGGGGTCGTCTTATACGACGAATCGTCTTATACATCGGAAATTACAGTAGTTTCCGGCATATAAGACGACTTTCTAAGCATGCAAATCGTCTCCGAAGTCGGGGGTCATCTTATACACCGAGTCGTCTTATACGCCGGAAAATACGGTAGTAACACGGTTGTTAAGTGAATCTGGCTTCCCCATTGACTTTGCTTGTCAGAAGGTAGCAAAACGTGATCACATTATCCTGGGACACTGCAACCATCATAAATATGAGTCAGTTGCCAAACAACTGAATTTTGATCACATGGTCCTTCGGATGTTAGAACAGTCATGTGTGTGAAAAGTGGTCATAAGTTGCTTTCTTCAGGGCTGTTGCAACTTTGAAAGGTCATTAAATGAAACATTGTTAGTTGAGGACTACTTGACTCATAAAACCTCCATCTAGGTTTCCAACAAGTTAAACTTAATTGAGTTTCTGTCTTTGTGAAAGACTAAAAAGTCAAGACAAAAAGAAATAACAAGCTTGGAACAATTCAAGCTTAGATGTTGCAGAGATCACTAGATCTTTATTAAACTGGTGTAAGCTGTTTTGTCATATCAACCTTGCCTGCAAGTTCCTGAAGAACTATAGAGAAGAAAGTCAGGGTTGATCTCTTGAGCCAGAGGGCCCAGGATGCTAAGTTCTGTTTAGCACGATCAATCTCAACTAAATGTTAATACACAGAACGGTCCTGTGCAGACAACATTACAGACAGAAGTATCCAAAATAGTATGACCAAAAATGATAATTATCACACCATTATGGCTACCATCTTCTTTTTTCTAATTATAAACCTACAGATATCTGATTATAGCATCACTTTTCAGTCAGCGTTGTTAATACTGAGGCAGGTGAAATCTGGGCTGTCCCATACTGTATAGTGAGTACTGTAATAGTCTGATTTATGATGGCAAAACTCTTGAAAGCTATGATTTAAGTCCTAAAATAGGCATGCCACTTTTATTTTAGAAAAAGCCCAAATAATTCACTTCTAACTTCTCTCCCCAAACCTCAGCAAATAGTGTGAAATTCTTGGTTTGCTACATGCATGATATAGGCTCCAATTGTTCTGCAGCATTACTTTCTCTATTTCTGTCCTCATCTTCCAAAAACTTAAGGCAGGGGTGTCAAACTCATAATGTCACATGATGTGTCGCGATGTATCACAACTTTTTTCCCATTGCCGGCAATGGGGTGGGTGCAGTTTCACCATGACACATCCGGCCCACAGGCCAGCAGTTTGACACCCCTGCCTTAAGGCTATCTACCCTACCGTCACCCTGTAAAATTTGTGCTTGTCTTCCAATCAAGTATTAATGCCTCATTAATGTTATTTAATCACGTTCTGTTAAAACAAGCCAAGTTCGTCAGGCTAGCTTCTTTCAGGCTTGTTTCAACTCCTTCCCCAAATTCTGAAAAATTGACCCTGCCCACCCAGCATTGCAGTATTAGGTAGCCCTCGACTTACAACAGTTAATTTACCAAGTTTTGAAGTTACAATGGCACTGAAAAAAGTGACTTATGACTGTAATTACAGATTTATGACTGTTGTAGCATCCCTATGGTCATGTGATCAAAATTTGGATGCTTGGCAATTGGTTCATATGTATGACTGTTCCAGTGTCCTGGGGTCATGGGATCACTTTCTGAGACCTTCTGGCAAGCAAAATCAATAAGAAAGACAGATTCACTTAGCAACCCCGTTACTAACTTAACAGCTGCAGCGATTCACTTAACAACTGTGGTAAGAAAGGTCATAAACTGAGGCAAAAATTGCTTAACAAACGCCTCAGTCACAGAAATGTTGGGCTTAATTGCGGTTGTAAGTCAAGGATTAACTGTCCAATCTTGGCAGTCCAAGAATTGCTTTACTTACAATATACAGGAGTTCCTTTTATTGGGCTTCGTGTGTTAAATAAATGTGGCCTTTATTGCTTATTCAGTAGACTATGGTTAAAACAGACAGTGGCTTAGCACAACATGTCAGCCTCAGTACAAAATCTCCTTGATCGCTGTAGCAGTATCTCAGCTTCTAAAAAGAAGCTATGAGGGATTAAAAAGAACAATCACACCATCTGGGTTGCAGGGTTGCATTTATGTCTTCTAATAATAATAACAATTACAATAATAATCCACCACAGATTCTCAAGCAGATATGTTTGCCGAATAGATGAGTCACGCAAGGCTATTTTTAACTCTGGCTGAACAAGCTTGTAACTCTTCGTAACCTTCTGGAAGGGGATCTGAAGAGACTAAGAAAGACCCAGATATTTTCCTTGAGCCCTGGCGTGAAGTCTGTGGAGGAGAAAAAAAATGGTGCAGCAGACAAAATAATAACACAAAGGAGACTCCAAGGCAGCGTGCCACCATAAACACAACTGCACTGAATGGATTAAAAGCTCCTGCCAACTCAGAGAGGACAATCAAAAGTGGAGACTTTGGTGAGGTCTGAACTTGGTTGTTTGCTTGCGGACATTTCATGACCAGACTAGGTAATGTCATCAGCGCTAGTGAGTGTAGGATTTACTCCCTATTTATATACAGTACTTTGCCCTGCCAGTGCTGGTGGGCAGGTGATTTTCTCCTTGGTAGATCCTTGATTAGGGTATTATATAAATACAAAACTCCACTCCTACTAACACTGTCTGGGCAAGCTGGTATATATAAACAGGGAGAAAACCCTACTTCGCCAGCACTGATAATGTTACCTCGTGGGATAAGGAAACATCTGCAAGCAAACAACCAAGCTCAGAGAGCATCAAAGACTCCACGAGTCAACCCTGAGCTACTGTGGTGGAATGCAGTCTGGAATCCCAGGAGGGAGAGCCTGCCTCCAGAGGGCAAAGAGGTAGCAGAGCTTGAAATGTGTGGTAGACAAGAAAATGGCTGAAATGGCACCTCTTTAGCAGTTCACAGAGTATATCTGTAGCTATGCAGATCGTTGCTTTTAGTCTGGCAAGAATCTGTCTGTAGGTAAACAATAAAGTAATTATTTGGAAGTACCTCTATGTGTCATTCTCGGTTCTTAGACTCGACAGCAACAGATATTCTGTTTTATTGAAGGGTCTAAAGTATTTCCTGAGATTTTACATTTAGGCAGATAGTAGGGAATTGTCCAGTCCATAGCAATTACCGGGGGGGGGGGAGAAGAATCCCAGAGCTGGAAGGAGGTAGGAGTTCAAAAAACTCTCACTCTGCAAATTGTAGAGCAAAATCTGCCCTCAAATGCTACTGCCATGGAGCTGAAAGGAAGTCCACAGTTGCTCAGCTTAGCTGTCAAAGCCTCATCACGTTATAAGGATACAAAGGTCTCCTGCAAATCAGCAGAATCCTCAAGGATAGGAAAAGCCTTTATTTTGCCTGAATTTTTTGTGATGGATGGAAGGGAGGGAGGGAAGGAGAGAGAAAGAGAAGGAGGGAAGGAGAGAGAAAGAGAAAGAGGGGGGGAGGGAGAGAGAAAGAGGGATGGAGGGAGGGAGGGAGCAGACAGAATACTTGTGCGGAAACAAATATTCTCATGTGCTACCTGCTCAGGTTATCCCTGGCTCAGAGCACCATCCAAAGCAAATAAACGCATTGCTTCATGTCCTTCCCTTCCTCTTCTACCCCATTTTTAAATAATGGTAAGAATGGCTTATAGAATTAGGCAAATCTTAAATCTTTCAAAGCATCCGAATGATTATCCAGAATACTAAAGCAAATCCAGCCTGGAAAGTAATAGAAAAAAATAAAAAAGGGATTGTTGTTTGCAGATGGAGGCTTTCCAGATCAATTTGTCATCATAGCCATGCATATCCTCCCCTGTAATTTAGGACTGAAAGAATAATTTTACAAGATCACATCCCTGGCAGACGAGGCAGGGAATTCAGTGTTCCAGATTGCAAGTAGTAAGATGCAAGATCAAATTCCAATATGGCCATAAGCCTCACTAGGGTAACTTTAGGCTAAGTATTTCTTTCATCAGGGATTTTGTAAGACTAAAAAGAACCTGGACTGTGTTTGTCATTGCTCCAGGGAAGAGCGATGGAATTCCAGACAGTCAGTGGACAAACTGTACTCACCGACTATTCATATCTAATCCTTGAGTTACAGAACTACAGAAGAATTACAAAAGAATAGAGTTGGAAGGGACCTTGGAGGTCTTCTAGTCCAACCCCTTGCTCAAGCAGGAGACCTTATATCAGTGATGGTGAACCTTTTAGAGACCGAGTGCCCAAAACCCACTTATGCATCGTCGGATGCCGGGTGGGCGTGGCCCATTGGCTGGGCATGGCTGAGGTGGTAACGG